ATCACATTACTAAATTTTGATCCCTGAAATCCTTGGTAATACCAATGTTCACTTTGTCTGGTTTTCTTGCAGTCTGCCCCATATAATGAATATAATGGCACACAAGCAATCATTCTAATCATCCTTCCGCCACCATGTTTAGCATCCTACTGCCTCGAATAATAAAAAAGGAACAATGAACCAATGCTAGCCTATCTCGCATTATTTGTGGGGTGGTGCATAAATTAGGTGTGTCTTTTTTAAACTTGATATGTTGGATATAATTTGAAAAAATTTTTTAAGACTCGCAGTTGTATGCAATTGGGAATGAAAAATTGGTTCCTTAAAGTTCATTTTTGTATGGTTTTAGTATTGCTATACCTTGGGTAATGTAATTTATTTATTTATAAATTTTTTTCATCCAGATAAGGTCTTAACGGGTCGTAACATTCTAAAATTTATCCCAGAACGTTTATCACTTATAAATTAGGAAATACCATTTATGGTATAATTCGCATTACTAGATAATGTCACCGTGATAATTAGAATATTTAAAAAAAATTTTTTATGTAAAAAAAAAAAATGGACTATTCAGATAACGAACAAGAATATGAAAAACTACCAAGAGTTAATAAAAAATGGATAATTAAAGAATCTAAAAAACTTCCAATTAAATTACCTGATGGAAAACTCCAACACAAAATTCTAGGTGTCAAAAAAAAAAAATCTTATATATTCCAAAAAAATATATCAATTTTACCAATTTATTAATTACTGATTTTATTATTTGATTAGAAAATAATGATGAGATGATAGTTGGCAATGTGGATGAATTGATGAAAATGGACGAGGAGGATAAAGAAGAAAATGAAAAAGATGATGATGAAAAAGAAATTATGGCTGATGATGATCAGAAGGAAAAAGTAATAACCAAAAAGGAATATATTATTCAAAAGAAAAAAGAATTGGGACAAATTGCTAAAAAGATTTTAGAAGATCCTGAAACTAATGTAATAATAAAAATAAATTATGTTTATTTCTTTTTAAAAAAAACATGTGATTTATTATTATTTGAATTATTTGATTAGATTGGTAAACTAAAGAAATTAAGAGATATTGCAATGGATGATAATATCAAAATAAGAAAATTGGCACTTTTGACTCAATTAGTAGTTTATAAAGATATAATACCAGGGTAAAATGACAAATACTTTATTTAATTATTATTTAATGATTTAAATATGTATTTAAATAATTAATTATGTATATACAATATATATATATATTAGGTATCGGATAAGACAATTAACCGATAAAGAAAAAGCTGTTAAGGTATCAAAAAAAGATCTTGTTAAAAAAAAAAGACATGTTATAAGAATTATGATGATGATAATGATAATGATGACGGCAATTTAATATTCCAATTAAGGTATCTAAAGAAGTTAAAAAGTTACGAAATTATGAACAAGATTTATTATCAAATTATCAGAAATATTTGAATTTACTTGAGGACTATATAAAAGGTATTCTTTTTTTTATTTAATGATTTCTGGAAAAAAATACCAAGACTCTTGTCTTCTAAAATACTTGTAAAATAATTAAAAAAAAATTTTTCCTTGCAGAAAACTCGAAAAACCCGACAAATAACAATGATAATGATAGGAATGTGAAGGATCAAAAATCCCTAGTTGTCACTGCATTAAGATGTGTATGTGAATTGTTGACATCAGTTACTCATTTTAATTTTAGATTAAACTTGATGAACATTATTATTGGAAGGATGAGTAAAAAAACTTTTACAAAGGTAAGTTTATGTGTGTGCTATATATAAATACTAAATATTATTATGATTATTATTATTAATTAGTTTATTTCCTTGTTGTAGATGACAGCGATTTGTTGCGATTCTATAATTGAATTATTTAAGAATGATGAATCAGGAGAAGCGAGTTTGGACGCAGTTAAATTGATGACAAAAATGATTAAATTTAAAAATTATACTGTTCATGAAGAGGTTAGTCATATATGCAGAGGAAGAGAAAATCAATGAATATATAATATTAATAAATATATTATTATTATTATATACAGATACTTAGATCATTTTTGCATTTAAGATTAAAAGAAGAATTAAATTATAAAATGAATAATAATGATGACGATGGTGATGATAAAATTGGTAAGAAAAAAAGAAAAATGGAAAATAAGTTGGCATCAAAAAAGCATTTATCAAGAAAAACGAGAAAATGGGAAAAAGAAAAGAAGAAAAAAGAAATTGAAATGAAAGAGGTCGAGGCAGTTGTTGATAAAAAGGAAAAAGAAAATAGAGTAAGTAAGAGAGGATCGATTTGATTTGAGATAGAATTTTGTTTAATTTACAAATTAAGAAAAATGACTTATTTTTTATTTTTTAAAAAAAAAGCAAACTGAAACTTTGAAATTAGTGTTTATAACATATTTTAGAATATTAAAACATGCAAACGGTTCAAATTTATTGTTACCAGTTTTGGAAGGATTAGCAAAGTTCGTATTACATCAAAAAGGCTTAAAAATTTTAAAAATTTAATTAATAACAATAATAAATTTTTTTTGAAAATTGTGTAGATTTTCACATTTGATAAATATCGATTTTTTTAATGATTTATTAGAAGTTTTAAAAAAAATAATGGTTGACTGTATACCGGAAGAAGATAATGTGGCGGTGGCAAAGAATAGAAAAATAAAAGTTGTTGGTAATTCCGGTATGGAAAGAATTGATACACGTAAATGTTTGTTATGCATCATTACAACGTTTCAATTACTTTCTGGTCAAGGTAGAATGAATATTCTTTTTTAATTTTTTCTGTAATATTATAATTAAAATTAATTAATTAATTAATTGATTAAATTAATAGGAGAGGCATTGAATATAGATTTACAAGACTTTTATAAACAATTCTACACAATAATATTACCACTTGCTTTGAATCCAAATCTTGATTCTAAAATAAGAAAATCAGAAATGGTGGAGAATGATGACGACGACGATGACGACGACGAATTGGGAAAAATAAAAATTACTAATGAAATTAGTTTAACAAGTGAACAAGAATTATTAATGAGAGGATTTGAATTTATGTTTTTTAAATACAGACAAGTAATTTCTATTTATAGTCTATTTGTAATTTTTATTTGATCAGAGAAAACATCTTAATGATCCTTTATGATTAAAAATGAATATAGATTCCTATTAACAGATCAGCATCTTTTCTAAAAAGATTATCAATTGCAAGTTTAAATTGGTCAAATGAAACAGTTTTAAAATGTTTAAATACAATAGAGAAAATGATCAAAAGACAAATTTGTTTGGAAACATTTTTATCATCAGAAGATAAGATTACCAACGGAATTTATAAACCTGAATTAAATGATCCAGAATTATGTAATCCTTTTGCTACAAGTTTATGGGAACTAAGTTTACTTGAAGTAAGCATGAAAAAAATTTTTTTTTTTTAAAACAATTGATAAAATATTTTTTATTATTAATTAATTACACACAATATTTAATTAATTAATAGAATCACTATGACCCAAAAATTAGATCTAAAGCAAAACTGTTGATGAATTACAAACCAAAAAATTAAAAATTAAAATCAAAAATTAAAATAACTAATTATTAAAAAAAAAAGGCAGAGAAATACAAAATATATTGTTCTTTTTTTTTAAAAAAAAAGCAATTAATTAATAATAATAAGTGGATTTTATATTTATATACATGAAAAAAAAAATGAATAAATGAATTTAATTGAATGAATGTATTATTAAATGAATGTTATGTGAAGGATAATAATTATTATTCTGAAATAAAATTAATACAATTGTTAATATGTTAAGAATATAAATGCTGGTAGATAAATATACGAGTCAATGTCATAAAAAGAACCTTTAAAATACAATCTACTATTGTTATTATTATTTTTAAGAAATAATCCGTTTTCTATATGCATAAAATAAAATTATAAAACCAATTCATTTTGTTATTGTTATTATTTCCTCGCAATAGCAAAAACACCCACTATTATAATTGCAAGAGTTACAAGTGCGCCAGGTAATAATAAATCCTTTGGAATTGTAAGATTAAAATCATCGTCACCTTTATTTACAAATAATTGAGATTTTCTTTTTCTTTTATTGGTGTTAATACTAAAATCTTCCTCGTCATCCTCATTTTCAAAATAATCATCATCATTTATAGCTCTGGATCTTGGCGAAGAAGCAACTGATGATGATGACGATTTCCTATTTTCTTTGATTTCATTAATAAATAAAATGACTTTCGATGAATTTTGACGTTGAGCAATTTTAACAGCATCAAGTACATCATCCTCTGTTGAGATAGTTACATGATCTTCATCATCATCGACATATGAAATCGTGAAATCTTTTACAGATGATGGAAGTTTCGATAATACAGTTGAACGTATATTATCAAGGCTTAAGTAATTAACAGTGAAACGATGTGATTTACCATTTGGAGCTTTAAACTTAAAGGTGAAAAAGTTTTCAGCATGGCAATGAGGAAATGAAACAGCCGAGTTATCATCAATTACTGAGGCAGATTCACCGGGATGAATTTCAGGTACTGGAGAAACATTGCCTGAATTACGGACACTATTATTACGCATATTCGGTGAAGCAGGTGGTATATTTGATGCGCTTTGTGAAGGAGCTAGTGAATCTGATATTACAGAGTCGTTGTCATCACCATTTTCTCCATTTACTGAATTCCAAAATTTGTTCCACATAGGACCTGAACCATTATCCGATCCACCATTTTCTTGATTTTGCATTGAATACATCTAATTAAAAAAAATTATTATTATTTTCTGGAAAAGAATAAATATGTATGTATGTATGTATGTATGTATGTATGTACCTGTTCCAATGTTGCGTATGTTAATTTTAAAACATCCACCATTCCTATAATAGTTGTGCCGTCTACTACCGGTAAATTAAGGTAATGACCATCTAATATATTTACATAAATAAAATAATGGATAGATAAATATAAATATAAATATAAATATAAATATAAATATAAATATAAATATATTTGTAGATTCAATATTTTTAATAATATCATAATCAATATATATATATCAATTAAAATTGAACCCAAATATTTATTATTCTCCTGTAGGATGACGAGAATTGTTGTTTTAAAATATTTATGATACTCAGCATTAAGCACATATATTTTAATAAACAAACTCGCTTTATATAAGGAGTTATAATTATCAATATAATAAATTGATGATACTCACCGTGCATTTTTTTTAATGCTTGCAAAATACTGGTCATAGGAGGAGCAGTATCAGGATGTGGAGTCATTACTCTCACAACGCTACAAGTAGAAGGGTCCAATCCTGCAGCAATTACTCTTAATACAATATCCTTGCTAGTGAAAATCCCAGCAATCATATTATTCTCCATTACCAAAACAGCAGTTGTACGAAATTGTCTCATCATTCTAGCAGCATCTCTTACAGTAGTTTTCAAACCAACTTCAGCAGGCAATGAACCATCCAAAACGCTTGTCAAATCAGGACATGCCATTTTTTCACGTAGAACCGACATATATTGCATTATGGGAGACACTTGACCCGACGACCACTCCTTTTCAACACCTTCAAGAGCATCGTATAATTTTTTGGATGAACCATATGCGCGCTCCATCTTTTCCAAAGCTTCATATAAACATTTAGTAATATCCAAAAGACCCACAACATCACCATCTTCATTACACACAGGCTATTGTTGTTATTAATGATAAATATAAAAAAATGAATATAATGATTTTTAAATAATAATAATTTTTATCATTGTAACTATTATTAATATGCTTACAAGATGTCTAAAGCCTTTTTTAACCATTGTATTAAGAGCATCAGTGGCAGATGTATCACTTCTTACACACATTGGATCGGTAGTCATGATCTGTTTTACGGTAGTAGTTTTAGCATCTAAACCATCCCCCACCACTCTAAATGCTAAATCTTTTGCAGTAAATATTCCGGACAATTGTTCCTCTTCATCTATAACCAATACACAATCGGCACGTTTCGCAGCCATAAGTTGTGAAGCTGCAACCACTAAAGTTGTTTCTCTGACAGTTAATGCTTGTGAAGGCCTTAATGAGGAAACTGTTCCATTTTTGTTACATGGAATTGGTCTTGAATCTCTACGAGAATTCTTTTTAGCTAAATTTGATTCTGCTTTTTTACGTATTGCCTAATATTATATAGATAAAACAAGAATGAATATTAAGGTTTAGAAAGATCACAGATTAAACGTCGTTACAAAAAAACCATGAAAATTGGATTATTATTGAAAATGTCATAATGGTCACGAGTGAGATTACCTCGTCCTTTTTTGAGGTTCTTTTACGAGCTACACCATCACCAACTTCATTATTATTGCCGTTTGGGAAATACCCGTTTAGGGAATGAGATGACGGGTAACGTGTTGGAGAAGAAGTTTTTCTTGTTCTAAAATGTGTTGTTGACATGTTAGGTTTTGGTGGTGATCTGTTTTATGAAATAACAGATGATAATAATAATGTTATTTTGCTATATTAAAAGAAGGTGTATTTTTTTTCTAAAAAAATTTTTTTTAAATTGAAATTCTTGTAATAAATATTTTCCCAAACAAATAAAAAAATTATTTTTGATCGTCGTCATGCTCATATTTTAATATTAAATATTTAATATAATTAAAAATTTTTTCGGGGTATGAAAAACGTGTATGCCATTAATTTGTTACACGCACATAAAAATTTTATTCAAAACTATTAATAAACTTACCTCTTTCTCTCAATTGAAGGATTTCTCATTTTGAGCGAGGAATTATTTTTTAACAATTGAAAAATTTTGAAAAAAATGAAAATGAAAATGAAAATGAAAATGAAAATGAAATGAAAATGAAAATGAAATGAAAATTATTTTAAAGATATTGTTTCCTTTATATACATATATACAAAATTTTACATAGGGTCTATATATGTATACAAAACATATATATTATTAATGTGCATTAATTTTTTTTAATAATAATAGATATTCTTTAGAATAAAATAATATTTAAAGAATAAAAAAATTTGGCTTAAAGAGGGAGATGTTATTGTTATATAGTATTATATTATTATTGTAATTCGGAATTTATCGAAATATGCATATGATTCTTTAAAAAAAAAAATATTGCATTTACATATATAATAAATTTATGTATCTGATTATTATTATCATAGATTTAGATCATCAAGAAAATCAGCATCAGCAACTTCATTATTATCTTCTTCTCTCAATCAAACCATAATTGTTCCCTCATATTCGTCCTCCTCCTTTTCTTCAGCATCTTCTCTCTTTGATGTGAAGAAAATCAATTAATGATTTCTTGTTAATTAATTTATACATTTATCATAAGGGAAAATAAGAATTGACTCACTTCCCGATCGTGCCCGATTTTTACCCGGAAAAGATAAGATTTGTTTGTTGCACGAAATTTAATTGTAATACGAATTACGTAATTATAGATTAAATCATATTTAATGCAAAGCAAAATGAATATTAATATTGACATATGGGAGGCTTTCTCAAATTGTTAGACGAATTATTTTTGATATTAAATTATGGGTGTAACAAAATTTGAGGACCGCTTGTTTAGTCCTCACATATGCCACAGGGATCAAAATTAGAGTCAATTCTTATTATTATTCTTGTCCTTGATATACAGTTTCTTCATTTATTTCATTTCTTTTCCTAAGAGTAACAGTAGTAGTATCAGAATCTGGATATAGTTGCACCTTCATATAAGAACCCTCCATATAAAAACATCATTTCTATAAGAACCGGATTATAATAGTAACATCCAACAAAAAAAGGTTATAATTTATTTTTAGAATAAAAATCGGGGGATTGTTTGACAAAAAATGGGGAGAAAAACAAAAATCAGCTGATTTCTCAAAAACCCTTTTTTTCCCAAACCCATATAATAATTGGAAAGAGTGCAAAAATTAGAATACCAGTAGTCTCTGACCATTTTTGTATTCCATTCATGGGCCTAAAAAATAAAGTTCTGACATTGTTCTCTATGACAAAATGTACATTATTTAAATAATTATATGTGATTCAAGTATGTGTACTTTGTTTTTCAACAGTCTAAATGGTGGTATCTTGCTCTTGAATTGGAATATGGGGCATGCTGCAACAAAACCAGACAAAGTGAACATTGGTATTACCAAAAATTTCAGGATTCAAAATTTAGCAATGTGATTATTAAAATCTTCTATTTGTTATCCTCTTAATATTAGGTGATATATAGAACTACCCCTATATAAAAATAGTTTAATATGAAATTAATTTATATCAGGTCTGCTATGGAACCTAAGAACTATAGTACCATTAGAAGTATTTTAAAAAAGGAACAAGGTGAAAAAATTGCTCCTTATATCTTCAAAATAAATGAAACTTACACACTTGAAACTTATCTAAGAAAAGAAAGGATTACCTATGAAATTTACCAAGAAGAAAGAAAAATAATAAATGTTGG